CTCTCTTTATAGGGCCTGACCTGCTGCCCCTTGACCATGTGAGTGGCCCTCCTCTGGACCTTCAATGCTAGTCACATCCCTCTTGAAGTGCGGCACCCAGAACTGGACACAGTACTCCAACTGTGGCCTGACCAGTGCCACGTAGAGGGGAAGGATTGCCTCCCTGGACTTGCTTGTGATGCATCTATAGATGCACGACAAGGTGTGGTCAGCCTTACTGACTGCTTCCTCACATTGGTGGCTCATGTTCATCCTGGAGTCAACAATGACTCCAAGATCCCTTTCTGTCACTCTCTGGATGCGACCATCTAGCCAATAAGTGGACTTTATCAAATACTACAAAGGAAAGCAAAAAACCTCCACCATCCTTGCCAAGCTGGCTGGTAGAATCATAGAAAATTCGGATTGAAAGGGACTTTGTAGATCATCTAGTCCAACCCCCTGGTCAAAGCAGGACCATCCCCAACTAGATCAATCCAGTGAAAGCTTTGTCTAGCTGGGTCTTAAAAACCTCCAAGCTTCATCCTCTCTGGAACCACTCTTCAGACAGTTGAAGGCTGCTATTACATCCCCTCTCAGTCTTCTCTTCTCTAGACTAAATAAGCCCAGTTCCCTCACACTCTTTTCGTAAGTCATGTGCCCCAGCCCCATCACCATTTTTGTTGCCCTCCGCTGGACTCTCTCCAATTTGTCCACATCCTTTTTGTAGTGGGGGGTCCAAAACTAGACACAATACTCCAGATGTGGCCTCACCAGTGAGGTCTCCCCTGAATAGAAGAGAATAATCACTTCCCTTGCCCTGCTGGCAACACACCTACCAATGCAGCCCAGTATGCCGTTAGCCTTCTTGGCAACAAGGGCACACTGCTGGCTTACATTTAGCTTATTGTCCACTGTATCCCCCAGGTCCTTTTCTGCAGAGCTGCTGCCCAGCCAGTCAGCCCCCAGTCTGTACTGGTGCATGGGATTCTTCCATCCTAAGTGCAGGACTTTTCACTTGTCCTTGTTGAATCTCATGAGATTCCTTTTGGCCCAATCCTCCAATTTGTCTAGGTCACTCTGAATCCTAACCCTCCCTCCAGTGTATCTACTATTCCTGCCCTGCTTGGTGTCATCTGGTGCACTCTATGCCATCTTTCAGGTTATTGATGAAGACACTGAACAAAAGCGGCCCTAGGACCGACCCCTGAAGCATTCCACTTGATACCGGATGCCAACTGGACATCGAGCAATTGACTACTATTCTCTGAGCCTAATGATCCAGCCAGTTTTCTTTCTACCTTACAGTCCATTCATCCAGTCCAGACTTCCTTAGCTTGCCTGCAAGAATGTTGTAGGAGACTGTATACTAAAATTGAGGTACACCATATCCACTGGTGTCTCCGCATCCACAGAGCCAGTCACCTTGTCATAGAAGGCAACCAGGTTGGTCAGGCAAAGGGCTACCAGTTAGCTGGGTGGGCCTTAAGGCCTATGTTAATATGGAAGATACAAATAAGCAGGTTGGTCAGGCATGACTTGCCCTTGGTGAATCCATACTGACTGTTCCTAATCACCTCCTTCTCCTTCAAGAGCTTAGAAATAGATTCCCTGAGGAGCTGCACCATGATTTTTCCAGGGACTGAGGTGAGCCTGATGGGTTTGTAGCGCTCTGGGTCCTCTTTTTTCCCTTTCTTAGATATGGACATTATGTTTGCCTTTTTCAAATAATCCAAGTCCTCTCCTGATTGCCATGAGTTTTCAAAACTGATGGCCAGTGGCTCTGCAATCTCATCAGCCAACTCCCTCAGCATCATCAGGTGCATCCCATCCAGCCCCATGGACTTGTACATGTCCAGTTTTTCTAAATAGTTCCTAACCTGTTCTTTTACCACTGTTGGCTGCTCATCTCCTCCCCAAACTGTGTTGCCCAGTGCAGTAGTCTGGGAGCTGACCCTGCCTGTGAAGACTGAGGTGAAAAAGGAATTGAGCATTTCCGTCTTTTCTGTATCCTCTGTCACAAGTTTGCCTCCCCCATTCAATAAGGTACCACACTTTCCCTAATCCTCCTTTTGCTACTGACATACTTGGAGGAACCCTTCTTGTTATCCTTCACATCCCTTGCTAACTGCAACTCCGATTGTGCTTTGGCCTTTCTGACTTCATCTCCAAATTCCCGAGAAATGCTCTTATACTCTTTCCTAGTTATTTGTCCAAGTTTCCACTTCTTATAAGCTTTCTTTTTGTGATTTAGTTTACTGAAGAATTCCCTGCTAAGCCAAGCTGGTCTACTGCCATACTTGCTAGTATTCCTGCACATTGGGATGATTTGCTCCTGCACTCTCAATAAGGCTTATTTAAAGTACAGCCAGCAATCCTGGAGTTCTCTCCCCCTCAGATTGGCTTCCCAGGGTATCCTGCCCATGAGTTCCCTGAGTGAGTTAAAGTTTGATTTTCTGAAAGCATCCTTTTCTAAAAGGATTCCTACTCTGCTGCTCTCCTTCATTCCTTTCCTCAGGATCCTGAACTCAATCATCTTGTGGTCACTGCTGCCCAAGTTGCCATCCACTACTACATTCTCCACCATTTCTTCCCTGTTTGTCAGCAGCAGATCATGAAGAGCATGCTGCTAGTTCGTTGCTCCAGGAAGAACACTTGCACCAGGAAGTTGTCCCTCACACTCTCCAAAAACTTCCTGGATTGCCTGCGTACTACAGTATTGTCCTCCCGGCAGATGCCAGGGTGATTGAATTCCCCCATTAGAACTAGGGCTTCTGATTGGTAAACATCCACAAGCTATCTGAAGAAAGCCTCATCTACCACTTCCTCCTGGTCAGGTGGTCTATAGCAAACACCCATTACAACATCACCTTTGTTGCTGTTCTCCCCTCTAACCTTAACCCAGAGACTTTCAACAGACCTATCTCCAGTTTCATACTGAAACTCTCAGCCATATGTCTCTTTTACATAAAGTGCAACTCCTCCTCCTCCTCTTCTTCCCTGCCTTTCCTTCTTGAACAGTTTGTACCCATCCATGACAGTGCTCCAGTCATGCAACCTATCTCAAGTCTCTCTTACTCCAATCATGTCATAGTTCTGGGACTGTGCAAGGACTTCCAGTTCTTCCTGCTTGTTTCCCAGGCTCTGTGCATTCCTGTACGGGCACCTGAGGTAATTAGTTGATTGCCCTGATTTCTCAGGAAGTATGAGAGAATCTCCCCTGTTGCCCTATCCTGCTTTATCTTCCTCTTGGTCTCCCACTTGCTTCAGGGCTTTGGTTTCCATCCCCTGGTGAACCTAATCTAAAGCAGACTTCCCAAAACAACAGGTCAGATTGGCAGATGGCTCCTTCCATCCCCCTGCAGAAGGGAGTCTCCAACTACCACCACCTGTCACTTTTTCTTGGTGGTGGTTGTCTTGATCCTTCCCACCTTGGTGAGGACCGGCCTGTCCTCCTCCACCAATGTAATGTGCTCCTCCCGCTAGGACTGCATATCTGTTCTCTAGACAAACTGCTACAGGTAGAGATGAAGATTTCTGCTTGCTGCCAGAGGTCACAAGCTTCCAGCTTCCATCATCCTAGGAGTCCATGTCCTCTCTCTTCTCTAGTTCTGCCAGGTCTTTCTCCACAGTCCCAGAGGTCTCCTCCAGTACTGAATTGATGAACTCCTCATGGTGAAAGATGCTTTGGCGCCTTACCACTTCTTCCTGTAGCTCTCTTGCCTGTTCCCTGTGAGACACCACCAGGAGGCACCGGTCACACTGCAGGCACCCCCCGGCCTGGTTGTCACTGGAAGGACCTGCAAGCTGCAGTCCCCACAGTGCCAAACCTCGACCTGGGTGGAAGCCTTTATGGTGAGAGGGACAGAAACCTCACAAGTGGAAGCAGAGGCAATGGCAATGGCTCTGGCATTGCAATGTCCTCCAGCCATTTCCCTGGGTCTCTTAAACTGCCTTTTCTCTCTTACTGCCCTTCTTCCAAGTACACCTTCCATAGCAAACTCATCTAGAAGCTGGCCTATTTAATATTCATGGTCCTGAAAAGGTTCTTTTCCCCCTGCTTCCTCACACCAAGCACAAAGGGGGAAGGGAAAAACTGACCTGCCTGCAAACTGCTTACTTTGTTTTCAGCCCCTCCTCACTGGCTCCCTGGTCATTCAGGAAGTCTCTTTTTATACCCTGCTGGGCCTGGACTGGCTCCACCCCAGGGCTTCTGTTTGCCCAGGCAGCAATCACTCAGCAATCAGCAATCACTCATTCAGTGACACTCCCAGCTTCTCAGAGCACATGCCCTAAAGACACACTGCCCACCAAACAAACACTCAACAAATCAAAGACACAGCAGCTCTGGATAGTTCACCTTCCCTGGGCAGGATCTGGTGCCTGGTTTCTCTTCCTCTTCCTCCTCTTGTTCCCAGCAAACTGCCTGCAAACTGCTAACCCTGTTTGCAGCCCCTGGTCACTGGCTCCCTGGACACTGGCTCCTTCCTGATCCCAGATCTGTTGATCAGTTTCGCTCTATATGGTCAAAGGTTTTCCAACAGGAAATCTGGTAGTTCTTGCAGTACCATTTAGACAACACCCAATGGTTCAGAATAAGGTAGAAAAAAGGCCAAACAATTCATTCAAGGTGGGAAATCTCTCCTTGCAGGTAGAAAGAAAAAGGTCAAACATTTCATTCAAGGGGGGAAATCTCTGGCCCAAGCAAAAGATCAGCAAAGTGCTGAAGAACTAGGATGTATATATTAGAACAGTGAGGACAATACTTAATATCAAGACAAATTACTCTTTAGCTTGAACAGCACAGTAGTACACTTAGGTATTATATTAGATCTAAGGCATTAGGGAGTGATCCCCAGCTTCTTGCTTTACTTTAGTCAATAGAGCCAAGGCAAGTGACCTGAAATGAGGATCATCCCCACAGTCTCTGAAGTCCTAAAATATACCTCAGCTTCTCTTTTGCCCCAACCTAAATAATTTTGAGCTAGGTTGGATGTATTAAAGGGATGGTATCAAGCTGAAATGTTTTAACTAATGTTTTAAATATCTGATTCATGAGAGACAAACTTTTAAATATCACCTATTAAAAAAATAAATGTAATAGCATATTCTTTTTCTGTTACCCTGTTGGTGTTTGTGATAGTCTATGGAATTAGAAGAAAGTTAAGTCTTAATTCTGCTCCACTGATGTCAATGGAAGTTTTGCCACTTGCTTCAATGGGAGCAAAATCAAACCCTACAGCCTCAATCTTGTAAATATTTATACACACAAGTAACTTTATATATGTGAGCAGCCTAAGCGAACTCATAGGAGAGCTCAACACCTGGCAGAACGTTAGCCTATGAGAAGCTGATTGGGCCCACCAGTTTTTCCACCTATGCCTTCTGTTTATAACTCATTGCTTCTATTAATCCTGTTCCGAAGCATAAAGCAAATTCTGCATTCCAGTGTGATATAAATGACATAATTTAATGTGATTAAGGGATGTACAGATGGTACCACATTGCCTCTGCTGTGTGGAGAGGTCAGATAGCAGTTGGCTATTACACAAACTACTCTAATATGGAGCTACAAGCCACCAAATCTTAGTCCCTCTTCATAACAGTCTGTACTGTGTGTAATCAAGCATGCACCAACTTCCTCAACTGTAATTAAACACATTAAGGGATGTTGTTACAAAATATCAGCATTTCCATTTGTTATTAAGATGCTTTACAGAACTTTCTATTTATTAGCTATGTATTAAAGATTTTATAAAAACATTAGAGAAGCATGTTTTAAAACAAGTGTATTTAAAAATATTCCAAAACTTTATTTCAAATGAATAAAAAATGCAAATGGTCAATCTATTCAAAGATCAGATCTTGCCTGGTTTGTACCATGCTGGTAAAGTAAATGGACCTTAAAGTCACCTAAAGTGTGCAACTGAAAATTCCCTTGCCATAAGACAATGCCCAGCTGGAGTGGAGCTGACATAGACTATACTACTGTCCAGTAGGCCTGTGCGAAGTGGCTAGTATTTACTTTGGATTTGGCTGATTCAGGGGACAGTGATTTTATTTGGTGATTCAAATCACTGTCTCGAATTGATTTGACTGAATCTGATTCGGAGATTCAGCCAAGGTTGAATGTCCAAATCAAACAGTCCCCATCGTCTTCCCACTCTCCCAGCTCCATCAGTGGCTGCCCCACCCAGCCCCAGCCTTCCAGCTCTTTAATAAAAAAAGCCCCGCACTCACGAGCTTCTGCCAGGCCGGGGGGATGCAATCCCTGCTGCCCCCCATTGTGTGGGGGGGCTATGTTACAAGCCTCCATCCCCCACCTGCTCTCCCAGCTCCCCCCCCCCATGGGCCCTTCCTGGCTCCAGCTCCCGGCTCTTAAAAAAAAAAAGCCCCACGCTCATGGGCCGGGGGGTTCTTGCTGCCCTCCACTGGACCATGCTGCATGGGGGGGCTGCCACAAGCCCCCAGAAGCCCCAGTGGCCACTGCAGCAGCCAGTGAGTGCAGGGCTTTTTTTTTGTTTTAAAGAGCCGGTGGCTGGGGCTGGGAGAGCGGGC